ACTGCAGACTCCCAACGATTTGCGAACATTTCAAAGACCTAACCAAACGATTCTTCGATAGAGCCAAACATCATCCCAACCCTCTGGTGGTAAGCGCAGCAAACTACCAACCCGACACTAACGCGAGCGTCATTAAACGTCGTCCGCGCAAGGTCCTCATCGACCCGGTCGAGGAAGGGGACCTAAGTACGTTGGAGTCACCGTCAAAGTTAGTGCAACAACAAACACCTTAGTCGGTCCTCACCTTCGAGGACGGCGAAACTAACACAACGCCCCCAGCCACCGACTAACCAAGCACAATCAACGGCTATCAGGGTCACAGTCCGCACCGAACCTCGATAGCCCGTAGGCGACACTCCTTAGCTAAAGGGCGCATGAGCACATGCGTGGCCCTACCAACTGTAGAGGGCCTCAAACCCGTGGGTTCTGGCTAGCCCACCAGTTCAATGAAGCTTTAATCGTCTCGGGACTGAAAGCGTTAACATCAGTTAAAAGTCAAAAGTTTTCCTGGTTTCAGTTTTCCTTTCCGATATAATGTTAATTCCGACCAGATAAATCCTTGGATCGCAATTATCTATTTTCTCATGCGCTTACTGCATTACTCTTTCTCCATTGCGATCACAAGCCTTTATTAACTTAACGAAACGGCGTAAACGAATCTGAAACAGTCGAGCCGTATACAGGGAAGGGATGTCATTTAATCCAAGGAAATGTGGCGTTAGCTTTAAAAATCACAAATGTACGTGGCGCAGCTTCGCCGAGACAAAGGAATTCGCACGTGACCCGAATGGAAACTAACAAAGCTAATAAGGATTTCCACTCTCTTGCCGAGTAGCGACGCGGCGGCTGCCCGCTTTAATTATAACCGACCCCGCTTCTACCCCGCCGTTATCAATGGCATTTAATATTTTAGCACTGTGAGCGACCGACAGGAATATTTTTTTTTCTCGTCTGGAAGTTTAATTAACCGACTTCAAAAAGGTAGAAGTTCTATACTCGGTTATATTTTTAAAACCCCTGAACTTCGTCATTTATGGACTGATTTTAAAAGTTCTTTTTTATTGGGTTCGGTTTAACTATCCTGTGATGCCGTATTAATTTCATTGGTACAGTTCCTTAAACTCTGGATATACGTCAAATAACTCTACAAAATCAGACAGAAAATGTAGATTGATTATTTGCAGGAGGTTTTGATTTTTGTTAGTAAAAATGTTTTACTTCTAATCGTTAACTTGAGTTGATTGAGAGGATTGAACGGAACTCGTGAATATTTTCCCTGGCTCCTTGGAGATGCCAAAACGAAAAATTTTCGGTCCCTCATCATAGACGTGACGAGCGTTCTGGTGAAATTCTTAGTTCAGCGCTCGCATTTACTTACGAACACCTGTGCCGGCACAGAATAAATTATGTTTTAATTTTAAGGCGTTATGCACCACGAGTCAGACATTTAAAAACATTCACAGATGAAAAATGTCGAGGTAATTTCTAGGTGTCGGTGAAAAGTGATTTATTATATTAATTAACGTTCCAGCCGTATTTGAATACTAGACTTACAACTGTTACGACTCACTGTCACGTTGGTTCGATTTACTGTACATTGAAACTGAAGGTCTCGTTAGTGTACAGTAATTTGGATATTGTAAATAATAATAATAATAATAATATAGATGTTTATTCGATTCAGTTTTTGTCTACAATTTAAGTGTCGACTTCCTCTATTAGGTACAGAAGCACCTGTGCCAGAGGGAGCTACTCTTCCTTAACAAAACTGTTATAACTAAACAAACACCTTATTTAATGTATAAAACATATTAAAGCATAAAAAAAGACAGTGTGTGTGTGTGTGTGTGTGTGTGTGTGTGTGTGTGTGTGTGTGTGTGTGTGTGTGTGTGTGTGTGTGTGTGTGTGTGTGTGTGTGTGTGTGTGTGTGTGTGTGTGTGTGTGTGTGTGTGTGTGTGTGTGTGTGTGTGTGTGTGTGTGTGTGTGTGTGTGTGTGTGTGTGTGTGTGTGGGTGTGTGGGTGTGTCGGTGTGTCGGTGTGTGGGTGGGTGTGCCGGTGTGTGTGTGTGTGTGTGTGTGTGTGTGTGTGTGTGTGTGTGTGTGTGTGTGTGTGTGTGTGTGTGTGTGTGTTTGTGTGTGTGCTAAAAATAAATCTATAGCTAAATCGTGTGCTAAATCTATAGCTGTTTTTACTACTTTACCTCGATATATTTCTAAATTAAACTGGCTTGCTCATTTTATTTCTTGACATCTTTCTATTTATAACCGACTTTAAAAGGAGGAGGTTTGTATGTTTTTTTTGATTTATGTTTGGGCATATCTCCGAAGTATTTTTTGTTCCAAAGGTTTTATTCCATATATTAAGGACCATTTCGGGGTCCCATCATGAGATAAATATGCATTGTTTTGTGCAATCCCACAACATAACATCAAGTCCGTACACTCGAAAAGGTGAATCAGAGAACGCGAAAACAGCGTATTTAAACAATTAATACGCTGTTTTCAAGTTCTCAGCTACCATGAGTGCATTGTAAGCGTCTAATTGTCTGACAGTGGGATAAATTCTAACTCGCAACTCAGGGCGCGGGTCAACATAGACTGGACGAACCGCAACGGGCGGCACTATCGGCAAAATCTATCAACACTATTCCTCGACGTTCGCAAAGCAATTCAAGTTGAGCCGTTGTTAATTTAAAATCAGCGTGTCCGCTAGATCTACCCATATTTTATAATAACTGAGTATTAAAATTAAATGACTAAAAATAATTCAACACACTTTTCTTAGCACTAAAAATTTTAAAATAATACTAAATCTTATATAATCAAATGTCGACAATTTAACCTATATAACCTCTTTTTATTTCTTTGTATTGAGGGGGAAATCTTCAAAAGATAGCCTATCATTACATGACAGGGGTATGTGGGGTTCCTACCCACTAAAACACCCTCGGTGGCCACCTTCGGTACGTTTGGAGGGACTCCGGGATCTCCTACGGAACGCACCGGTGTCCCTCGGTACTGCGCATGAGCACGCCTCGGAGAAGGATAAATCTTCCCCGATTCCTTCGCCATCTTGCACGAGACAACTTCGTGCTGCTGCCAATCCGTGTCCCCCTTTAGTCGCCTTTTACGACAGGCAGGAGATATCTTATTCTATTATAGGAGCCCGGGTCTACAGAGGCCGGGGCTGAACCTATATAACCTAACCTTTAACAATATCAACGGAGCGATCAACGGAGTATTTCAAGTGGCTTCTCCATCCACCATCGCGCAGTGTGCAATCTCCTAATGAAATTGAACTAATTCTCTTTATTTTATAATTGAAAGGAGTATCAGTCTTCCATGGGGGAACCGTATGAAGAAGAAATTGTTCCACAGGTGGTTCTACAAGTCTCTCGATAAGCCATTACAGATAGCAAGACTTCCGCGCCTAACTTCGTTAGAGAAACTGTAGTCTTTTCCTGAATAAATATCGCTAAATCGCTCAGGAATGTTATAGGTGGTACTCCTGGAACCATCTTCATAGTCTATCGGTTTCTTTCTCTCCGACAGTTTGGTCTCTCCTGGAGAGAGAGAGAGAGCTCGGCATCATTTAGTTACCTAATTATTTATTAATTTTTATTTATATGTTTATTGTACACAAAACACAAGATGAAAGTAATGTACAAAAGGTAAGCTTAACTCAATGCATGAGTTCTCTGCCAGCTAACCTGGTAATCTAATTCGATATAAATATTCATTCTGTTTAAGTTGTTCGGTATATGAATATTTCTGTTTAAAATCTCTGCAAGATAAAAAAAAAGAAATTTATCGTGAGATATTATCATATTAAAACAATTATAAGTTGAAAGAAAAAAAGATACTTTTTATTTACCGGATTCTGTTCAACATTCCTCCAAAAAAAAACTTTCCATGATTTTTCGTATAACTTAAGTTACTACTCTTATTTAAAGAAGTAGGATTATTTGATTGCCACTCCTACGAAACCGTCATTGACATAAAGACCTTGTATCAAATATAACGCATGTAGATTAGTTCGCGATGTGTAAAGCACGGTAAACAATTATATCGCTTATGACGGTACGTTAAAGTTGTTATTTAAATAATAGTAATTTAAATATTTGATAAGCAATGCGCATTTAAACTATTGCGTACTACAACAATATTCTTCTCGTATTATACATTCTATATTTTTGATATCAAACGTAACACTTGCTTTTTTAAGTGAAGAATTGACAATTTATTTGCGATGTTCTAATAATTAGCATCATTCGGAACAAGATTGACGTCGGATGCGGAGGTCTCCAAATTATCTGTTCCCATTACGATCTGTCAATAGCAGAATTATCTTTAAATTCTATTTTCCTCCTTGTACAGAAAGTAATTGATGTCTTTCAACGTTGAAGTTTCCTTATATATATATAAAGAAGCACTTAAAAGAAGCAAATTTGATTATTTAATAACTGAAAATTAATTGAATTTTCTGTCTAACTATTTTTGATTAAGTAAACAGATGGAAATTGCATTTGCATTATTTAGTTGTAATTGGCATAACACCTTCACGAATTGCGCAATAGTTATACATCAACATGTTACACAACTCGACTACCTTCGTGAACCGTGCTTGGGTTCAATCCCCACGGGTCAAATAAATTTTGCACCCATAAATACATCTCCAAATATGTGTTCTCTGTTCGTGTGTTAACCACGCGACATGGTTTATGTACCAATTCGTTTGTAGTTTGCATAAGAAAAAAAAATTAAATATAAATATTTTGTATATTAATAAACGTGAGGAATACCTGAAATTAATTTAACATATCCTCGTTATCCTTCGAATATCAAGTTGTAATTGATAAAGCATACGAGAATAATCGACAGCGTTATAATCAGAACAAATACGCGGTTGTGTTTGTCCGTTTTGGTGCGGTGGGCCGGTTTTAACACCAGTCGGGTTGCGCGTCCGCCGGAGTCATACGTGTATTATAATAAGAATCCAAGATGGCGGCGTGCGCGACCACCCGTCGTTTGTTAACAGTAACGAGACGCGGGTTAAGTTCGAAAGCAGACAAAAATGTCGCGTTCCTCGGCCTCGGGAATATGGGAGGATACATGGCCGCAAATCTTGTGAAGCAGGTACGCATTTGGTGTGAATAACAAAGTGACACGCGCGGTCATTGATATCTGTATCATTGAAATGCATGTTTCGTATTTCAGTGATGGGTCAAATAATGCTTTGACGCATTTCACGATTTCCATTGATAAAATATCATCAATGTTGATGGTTAACTAAAATATTAGTTTCGGGTTATATGTTGTAGTATCCAGGTAGTTTAAAAAATAAACAATTATTTCACGGCTTTAAAATAGTATACTTTATGACAAGATTGTGTCCTGTACGTGGTTAATGTTTGTAAAAACGATAATAGGCGAAATAAAAATTTCTTTTCCATTATAAGAAAATTAAATTGTAACCGGTCTTTAAAACTCGTCCGGTCAACGGCAATTCACTTTACACACACACATATTTAATAATTCGGGCCAATGAATAAATCCAGTCCATTGTAATGTACTGTTATCAAATCTGTACAAAAAGAAAGGAATTTCTTCAAAATTATTATTAACTTCTCTTATAATTACATGCTAACTTGTAAATCTGAGATTTCGTCTTATAAAAATGTATCTTAATTTATTCGGGATTATATTTTCATGTGGGAATATAAAAATGTCGCAATGCCAATGAAAATCAAATTCTCCTACTACACGATTAGTATTTTAATCTAAATAAAAATTTCTCAATTTGAATAGAGTATTTTTCATCAGTAGAATTCGGTCAACGCGATAAAAATATGTAATTTTTTCTTAACTTTCGTCACCGTTAAAAATTTTATCTCAAAAAATCAGCAAAAGGTTTCATTGAATACTTTGTTAGTGATAATATGTGACACTTTAACTTTGGTAAACTACCAGGCCTAAGAAGTAAATTAAAACTGATTAATTTATATATATCAAATGTTATATCTATCAAAGGCAGAATAAGTGAACTTGTGTATTAGAGTGAAGCGCATTACGTATTTTAACTTTCTCTTGTTATACTTGTTTTATTATCTTATTTTTGCAAAAAATAAAATAATTAATAAGGTATCCAATATCATGCTTATAGGAACAAAGGTATCGTGCAATAAGTTAAAGTCAAAGTTGATTTGAGCTCATATGGCTTTTCGGCACTATGAATGAATGAATACGAACATAAAATAATTGCTAAATCAACAATAGAAGCCGTATATGCAACATTGACCCATTAACATATGTACTTGAACGAACGTCAACACGTCGTTTTTGTCCTTATCATTAATTAAATTATAAAAAGAGATAGAACTATCACGCATTTATAGAACGAATATCGACGAATATAATTCAGATCAGATTATTAAAAAAATACGATACATTTGTTCTCATACAAATAATTAAACACGTAGAATAGATACTTAATATATAATCAATTTATTTAAGAATTATAATTTAATACTTTATTTAATTACGATAACGTATAACAAGCTCTAAATTATATCAAACATATAAATAAATTAAAGCTTAAGGCAGACTTTATTTATCTTAGAAATATTATTTTAAGTAGGTAACTAAAATTTAAACCATGTCTTGACACAATATATTATAAAGTTTCCATGATAAAATAAAGCAAGTTGCAGTTTTACATAAATTCGTGAAATTAATTTGATCAATCATTACGTCAGACACGTGAAAAACGAGCTAGGGCCTATATATCGTTATTTGTGTATAAATGAATTATCGAAAAGATGGCCGGTTAAAAGGTCACGTCAATATTTCGTTTTATCATCATTATTTCACTACAATATCGAATATAATTTTTGAAGTTAACAATCTCTTAGGTAAAGAAATTTCTAAATAGACAAATCTAATTTTACCTGAAAATTAAAAGGAATTTTAAAACTGGACAAATTGTCTTACCTAACAGCTACTGAATATTTAAGAAAAATTTAAAACGGAACCATTAAACGCCACTTTCACCGAAATTTGAAATTAAAATCCTTTCAATTAATGCAAATGCCACGTTAAAATGTGCAGATGGGCGCTTTTTGCATGAAACATTTACCAAAAGGTCGGCCGGTAGTCGGTGAGAAATAACATTAAATCATTTTTATTTCATTGTGTTTAAGGTCAGATTACGGGGGTTATAAAACACAGGCGGCTTATGAATGCATTTCATTTTTTTAAAAGGCATTCTGGTTACTATTGTGCGTAAAAAACTTTGGATGCCGATCATTCCAATAAAGTAATATACTCCCTTTGTCCGTTTTATGTGTTTCGTGTTAAATTTGTATCAACAAAAAACAAACTCTATTGTAGCTAGTTGTAAACAGTAGAGTCTGGAACAGATAACCACAAGACGGATTTTTAAACCTTTCTCCATCGTAAAGTTAACAGAAAAATAAAATATGTAGTCAAATATAGTCAAACATACGCCTGGTTTCTGAAACACTGATCATCGTATATGTCAACAAATCACCTGTCAAATGGCTTTTCAAATGTTATTTTAGTTGCCAAAAGGATGGTTAAACGCTTTGAATTGATCATTCTAATCATTAAGAAAATCACTCTGGTAGTACATAAGTGATAAAGTCGTCAGTAGTGGTCTTAAGGTGTCGTGTCGATGTTTGAATCCGTTTCACTTAAGCTAAAGCAACCAGAGATCAAAGCGATGCATGCACAAACAAAATTATTAGTTTCCATTCGAAGTGCTGATTTAGCATGACGACGCCTAGTGACCTAAGTTTTAACACGTCTATACAAACGAAATTATTGACCAGCTGTGAGAAATATATTTACTGCATTTAAATTAAACCTACGTTTATTCTAAACACTGTAATCATATATCCTGCTAAAACACTTGCCTCACAGTTAGTAGTGTATATTGAAGGAAAAAAATACTCAAATTTTAAAATCGAAAACACTTCCCCTAAATTTTTGAAGATATTTTTCTTATTCGCTTACTCGTAATATACTTCTTATTCGCAATCCGTACAGCAAACCACTACCGCTATATATCACGATAGGCAGTCAATAAAAATGTCCGTGATATACTTATTAAAAGATTTAAATAATTTATGATTCTATTTTTGATTAAATTTATGTTTTTAATAAGTTACTGACTTTTTACAGGGCTTCAACGTACGCGGCTACGATCCCTCGAAGGATACTTTGGCGGCGGCGGCCAAAAATGGCATCAGCAGCGCCAATTCTATTGCAGCTGCAGTCGACGGCGTGGACGTTGTGGTGTCCATACTGCCAAGCAACAAAATTGTGCTCGAAGCATACCTCGGCAAAGATGGTGTTGTTAACCATGTGAGTATGATTCCCAACTGGTAGGTTGACAAATAATCGTGAACTCCAGGTCCATTTGCAAATTGCCCTTAGTAAGTCGTGAATACGATTACTGGTATCATTTTAAAATTGGGGAGTTTCATATTCTTGGTGTATATCTAGCAAAGCTTTCTAAATTCAAAATATAAAGAGGAAATTTTACATTTTCACAGAAGCTCGGCTGGTGTTTCGTGACCAATTGCCCATAATTACCTGGTTCTATCCCTTCTAGGCAACAAAAGGAGCTCTTCTTATAGACTCCAGCACAGTAAACCCAAATGTGCCCAAAGAAATATTCCCCGTGGCCACAGAGAAAGGAGTAAACTTCATTGACGCACCGGTGTCTGGAGGTGAGTTTTTTTTTTTTTTTTTTTTATGTGAAACGTTGCCAAACGAGCAGATGGTTCACCTGATGGTAAGTGAATGGCTACAGATGTGTTGACAACCTTTTCAAAATTGGGCTCCGGCTACCTCACTTACCAGACGAAACGCGAAAGTATTTGTCATACTTCCACTTTACGCTGGTCTTCTGTGAGGTCGTGGTACTTACCCGGGCGGGCCTGCCCATTCGTGCAACAGCCGAGGCTGCTGCGTGGCCCTACCACCGTGAGACCAACAAATAACACATTTGTTAATTTTTTTTTAAAGACATTGCCCTCACTTTAGGATAACATTATCCTGTGTCGCAAGGACGTTTTTACATACATAAATTTCACGTGGACAAACACCCAGATGCGAAACAACTATCTGTGGGTTACACAAATAGTTGCCCCGTGTGGGAGTCGAACCCACGACCCCCGACGCCGAAGCCAATACTTTGGCGAATCCGCCATGGAGTCACCATTTAATTTAACAAATCGCCACTTTCTCTTCTTTTTACAGATAAGATAAAAACACTATTAAACAAACATACGTCGATTAATATCACAAAAATGTCTCAACCTGGATAAAAACGCACCAATGATGGGCGTTTTCTAATTACATTAGACATAATTTTTAACAGGCTTTACACAACAGTGACAGCAGAATTTATTTAGGCCATTGGCTTTTTCGGCGGATCTGTCTCTGCCTCGGTGCTTATGTGGACGATAAACTAATTAATAATGCTTAGTTATAACAATAATACTATGCCCCTACCAGCCATATTAACGATTACCTCAAAACAAAACTTAAATGACACCTGTAGTTACCAAAGAATCAATTGATGACATTATTATTATTAGTAGGTTGTACTATGACTACGACTCATTGGCGTAAAAAGAACGCAGATTTTTTTTTAAATCATTGAAACATTCTTAGCAATAATCTAAATTGTTTTTCTGGGTCACAACCACGGTGTGTTATCTTCAGGGTAACAGAGATAACGTTGGAATCAACCTATGATTTAATGCAAGAAATATCGTTCTGAATTATATAATTATACATATTTAAGTAAAATTTTAATTTGTAATACAAAATGATTTTTATATAAAGGGCTTAAAAATTTAAACTCAGGTGACCGTTCTAAATCACACTTTTTTTATGTGAAAAGTTGCAAAGCGAGCAGACGGTTCACGTGATGTTATGAATACCGCCGTCCATGGACGTCTGCTACACTCGAGGGTTGCAGATGCGTTGACAACCATTGAAAATTGGGCTCCGGCCACCTCACTCACCAGACGAAACGCGAAAGTATTATACTTCCACTTTACGCCGGTCTTCTGTGAGGTCGTAATACTTACCCGGACGAGCCTGCCCATTCGTGTAACAGCCGATGCTGCTGCGTGGCCCTACCACCGTGAAATGCAACCAGTTAGGTTTGCACTTATTTACATACAACAAATTACTTGTATTTCTTAGTAACCCTACCTTTTGATATCACCCGGTTAGGAATCATTATATTTTGATACATATCCAGATAATTACAGGACTGTCAAAAATGGTGACAATGAAACTCTATAGGAAATAATATGAACATTACTACATATATATTGTATCATCCAATAATAAAAAAGAAAAGTTCCGCTGTTTTGACATGTATAATTGATGCAGTAAAGCTTGAGAAAAAAAGTCTAATTTTTGGGATCAACGAAATGATTACACTCGTTATTACAAAATTTAGTAGGGTCAGTTACAAGAGAATAAAACACTAATTAAAATAACTAATTTTAATTTTGTTAAAGATTGGTCATTGATTTTAGATATATTAAATAGGGACAGGGACTAGAATAGATGTTTGAGTATGGATATTTTTGTTTTATTTTGCTCTCTTCTTTGTTCATATATCATGACTCCAGAAACATCAAGTTGAATGTCATGAAATTGATAAACTATAAGATAATTCAACTGTAATACATATATTGCAAAGCATTGTCATTACATATTTATTTGTAACGTCAAGTGTACTTTGATTTACATAAGATAATACTTTATCGTAATAAACCTTACAATTTGTTATTAAACATCGCATTGGTGTGCAGAAGTGTTGCTAACCGTAGCATAATTAATGAATATTTGATAAGACAACAAAAGCGAATTCAAACATTGTCTGGTGGTTAACGAGTACATAAAGTTGGAGGCAAGATAAACAATATAAAACATTTGTTTCGTGTATGTACCGAGAGCACACTAGAATCTAACTTACACATTTGCTTCTCGTTGTATGTGATTAAGAGTAAAAGTAAAGTAACAGCCTGTACATGTCCCACTGCTCGGCAAACGCCTCCTCTATACAGAGGGTATCAGAGCATACTCCATCACGCGGCCCCACTGCGGATTAGCGGACTTCACATATCTTCGAAAAATATTTGTTTTTTTTGTTATTATTTCGAAAATATGCAGGTTTCCTCACGATGTTTTCCTTCACCGCGGATAATTCAATAAATATAATAGAATAGATAATTCCTTCAAGTGATAAGTCAGCACTTAAAGTTCAAAACTTCATTGGTGCCGGCACCGGGGATCGAACTCAGGTTGCTCGAGTATATTGAATTAAAGGCGAGCGCCCGGACACTGAGCTATCACGGCTCTTCACGGATTAAGAGTACTATCAGATTATATCAACATATATAGCTATGTTGATATGAGTTATCTTATGCTCTTCTCAATTCCTCCTTCCAACTTTAACGTCCGTCCGGATAAGTACCATGACCTCGCAGAAGACGGGCGTGAAGTGGAAGTGAAGAATATGTTACACAGTTCTGCGTTTCGCCTGGTGAGCGAGGTAGGCGGGTTCCACATATTAAAGGATGGTGATTGAGTTAGCCGGGGTCCACGCGGGGTCCATGCGGGTGGTAACGCTACTGCTCTGCAATATGTGGATACTGTATACTATATCATTACAACGACTAGTTATCGTATTTCAGGCGTAATGGGAGCGCAGAACGCGACTTTAGCGTTCATGGTCGGGGGCAGGAAGGGCGATTTCGACAGGTCGCTGCCGATGCTCAGAGCGATGGGCGCGAAGCACTTCCACTGCGGGGAGATCGGCTCCGGCCAAGTGGCCAAGCTCACCAACAACATGCTGATGGGAATCACGGGAATGGCCACCGCCGAGTGTATGAACATGGGCATAAAGTGAGTAACGACAATCGCAGAGGCCGCGAATAACATACAGACACAGAATATTCAATGCGTATTCAAATATGATAGAGGCAATAACAAGAATAATAAGAAGTTAGCTCAGCGTTTGATACTGTTGCTAGTTGACTGTGTGACGTTGATTTACCCATTTTTTTAATAAACTGCTCTTATTGTAGTAAAACTTTACCGTGTTGTTAGGGCGATATAAATACATAAATTTTAAGTGGACAAACACCCAGATCCGAAAGAATTATCTGTGGGTATTGAAACTATAAGTGTTCGACAGAGAGTAAAAAATTTTATTCATATCCATAACCAAAGACATGTTTCACACAGATCATACAAGATGTCCATATAAACCATAAATATTATTTTGTTACATATTCAACAGTGGGTCTAGAATAGTTGTCCTGTGTGGTAATCGAACCCACGTCCCACGTCGCGGAAGTCAACAATGGCAACTGCGCCAACGGAGTCATCCAAATTTATTTCACTTTGGATTTTTGATCATTAGTAGTTTATGGCGCTCGGTTGAATGAACTATTTTCGAGCATCCCAAGTTCAAATGCCGACATCGACTAAATTGTTAAATAGAATTTTGAGCAATGATTCAATATGTACTAGACGGTCATGGAAAACGCTATATAATCTGCATATTATCTTCCAACCAATTAAAAAAACACTGAAGATATGTGCCTGAAATTCCGCAGTGGAGTCGCGTGGGCTTAAAACCAAGTATCAAAGCAGGGACAAAAAAATCAATGAAAATAATAGTATTTCTGTGAACATTTAAACCAAATTTTTCTTGTCGAACGTATTTGAATGTTTGTACACGACGTTAATTATTTCACTCAAACTTATACAATAAATCCCCAAAATAAATCTTAACGAGTTTCGATATAAAAATTTTAAGTAATTAAGATTTACTTAGTTTATTTATTTAGTTACCGATTTACTGAAATATTTGTTATTCGCACTCAAAATTGTAGTTTTTTTTTTATATTAAAATGATTTTTTTACGTTATTACCAAAGTAACATGTGCGAAAATTCATTTATTAAATGCGATCCATAAATCGGATAAGTGATCAAGGTTCAAACGTAAAAGACGAAACGACCCGAAGCGAAATTGCCAATTCCAATTTTATTTCAAAGAACAGTCTAAGCATCAATCTGCATGTTTCCTCCAATCATATTTGTATGCAAATGGGCGGATCTTTGAAGTTTTATTGGGGGATTTAAGCCTCTACGGAATATCAATTTTAATATCTGAGCAGAAACAATTTCGTGTGGACACTTTAAACAGTTTAACGTCTTTGATTTCAACGCAAATGTGCAATTTATTCATAATAGATAGTGGCAACTAGTTACTGATAAATACTATATAATATATAATTAGTAAAGTACCTACACTTTACTAATAATTACTATTTTATGTGAAACGGTGATTAGGTGCACCCGATGTGAAGTGATTAACGCCCTCAATGGTTATATAACACCCAAGGTTGTAAATGTGTTGCCAACCTTTAAAAGATTGACTCTGGTCACTTCACTCACTGAACAAAGAGATGAAATTGGTATTTACATCTTGGAAATTTTTATTACATAGAGAGTGTCTAACCATAATTTCATAGACACCATATTTTAATATTCAATATAATATAAAACTAAGGGGAACGAGACGCCTTTCGGGATCTCGTGGTCGGGTTGTTTGTTAAAACTGGTCTGTCTAATAACAGTAAAATCCTTTTTTAATTTTCTTCTTTTCTTAAAGTGTGTATTTAAAGTACATGTATGTAAATCACCATAGGCAGATTCATAAACGCCTGCCATCTTGTTTTTAATGTATTTTTTATTTTATTATTACTTATTTTTAACCGAATTAAAAAGAGAATATCGAATTTTTCAAGTAAGTTCAGCGATAATTCTTAGCACGTCCGATTTCTATATATGTTTTATTTTTTTTAATAAAGAGGGCATACACAGAGAACTATTCAGATAAGAAAATGAGTGAAAAATGATGAAATAAAATAAATAAATAAAACTAAACTTTTATTTGCAAAAGCAGAATGAGTCAATTTTTAATCAACTATCATAAATTGTTATGGCACAATTCTAGTGTAATATTTTAAGATGGTAATAATTCATAAACTTAATTTTTGTATTTATAATTGTTTTGTTTGGTTTTAATTATGACTAAAAAATAAGAAATCTTATACTCTTTACTCTACTTTAATTCAATGCAATCTGAGTTTGGTCTCCGGTGCTAGCACCAATGAAACTAATTTTTGAAATGAAATAATTAATAATAATATTTTTTGAAATGATTAATGAAATTAATTTTCACGCTCAGCGGTGAAAGGAAACATCGTGAGTGAACCTGCATATTTTCGAAATAATAAAAAAAATATTTCGAAAATATGTGATGTCCGCCAATCCGCAGTATTTTGCCCCAATACCCTGTACAGAGGAGGCCATTGCCAAGTACTTTACCGACCTTACTGCAATGTTGGTTCTTATTTCCCAGAATGGGCCTAGACCCGCAGGTGCTGTTGGATGTACTGAACAACTCCTCGGCTAGATCATGGTCCACCGAAGTGTACTGTCCAGTCCCCGGATTAGTACCAACAGCACCCTCCAGCCGGAACTACGACGGCGGTTTCAAGAACGAACTCATGGTTAAGGTACTCTATATTAATATAGCTATATAATAATATAATTTTTTTCCTCCAAAACCGAGGCGGTTTCCATTTTCTTTTTGACTTGTCAATTCCTCGTTTTAGTTCCTTTTTTTGAGTTCTGTGCCCAAACGACAAAACGGGACCCTGTTACTAACAATCTGTTGTCTGTCTGTTTGTCCGTTTGTTACCAGTCTGTATCACATGAGCCGTGATGTTTTCACAGATGATGTATTTCTGTTGCTGCTATAACAACAAATACTAAAAAACAATAAAAAAACATAGAGGCTCCGGGGCTCCCACACAACAGACATGATTTTTTTCCCGTTTTTATAGGTCCGTTCATGCGTGATTCAGACTCGTTTCAACCTCATAATATTCAGCCAATTACAAAGTTTGTAATGCTATTCAATATACAAGTAATTTAATAATAGCCACCCAATGGTGGCTACCCAATATTTCCTATTATTTTTATGTTGTTCATTATTTTTTTATCTGCTCGCTTAGGATTTGGAGTTGGCAAGTGGAATGGCCCTTGGAATCAGATCGCCGATCCCTCTGGGAGCAGTTGCCACGCAACTGTATCGCATCGTGCAATCCCGCGGCTACGGTCAGAAGGACTTCTCCTTTGTATTCCAACTGCTCAAAGACGAATCTGAGAAGAAGTGAAATAAATGATTTGTTAAGTTAATTCTCATAATCTTTATCCAAAATTTAATGGCCATTTCCCTCCTATTCCTTTATCCTACCACCAAGGGTCGACATGTGATCATGTTGAACATGGTATTGACCGAATTTTTTGCTACCAAGCTATTTCGTTGTATTCATAAAAGGCCTTTGAGAGTCCGCCTAATCTGTCCTGAATAATACACACTCGCCAAAGACTAAACTATAAACAAAATAAGTTCATTCAAACTAAGGTGCGCAGTGGTATCAACGCAACGTCGACCTGCAGTGACTGCAGACTCCCGACAATTTGCGAACATTTTAAAGATCTCACCAAAAGGTTCTCCGACAAAGCTCAATATCATACCGAACCCTCTGGCGGTAAGCGCAGCAAATTACCAACCCGACACTAACGCGAACGTCAACAGGAATCGCCCGCGCAACGTCTTCATCGACCCGGAGGGACTTAAGTACGTCGGACCCACCGTCGGGGGTCCCGCTAAATAACACTACACACTCAGTTAGTGCATTAACAAACACCATCACCTTCGAGCACGGGCAAACTAACACAACACTAGGTACACCTGCGTTTTAGGGCGGTTCTCACTGCCCCCAGCCACCGACTAACCAAGCACAGTCAACGGCCATCAGGTCACGGTCCCGGCCACGGTCCGCACCGAACCTCGATGGCCCGTAGGCGACGCACCATAATTAACGCACGCATGAGTACATGCGCGGCCCTAACCACTGAGGCGGCCCTCAAACCTAGGTGGGTTCTGGCTAGCCCACCGGTACTGCGTTCGATGAAGCTTCAATAGTCTAAGGCTCAGGACTGAAAGCGTTACATCAGTTATACAAAAAAAGTAAAATACATTTTATTAAATCATTCTCTCCCGGTTGGAAATTAACCTCGGTGGAAAATTTACGCTAATTGATATTTAGCTTATTATGACTAATTTGCAAGTTTCTTTAATTTCATTTTTAAAAAAATCTCAGTCAAATCCTAGCCTTTAAGTACCATCCGATTTGTAGTGTACAAATTATCTCGAAAAATGGGGAAGGCCTGATACAACGATGTGACCACATACAACATTAAAATAATCAATTACAAAGCAATAATTACATCTTTATTTAAAATATAAAAGTGTAGTTCAAAAATTAAAATTTAGCGTACATAGTTCCCAACTGAGTCTTTATGTTCAGATTATATATTTGTGCCATTTGCTGTTGAAACATTAGGTCCGTGGGGTCCCCGCACATCAAATTTTTTTTAAAGTTTATGTCCTAGGCTTAACGCCGCGGCTGGTGACAAGAGAGCTGGTTCTTTTCTCGCGCAAAGGTTAAGCATAACTATTCAGCGAGGAAATGCAGCTAGCGTTCTTGGCACCATGCCGCGTGGATTAGGTTTATTAGATAATATGTAATTTTAGATAGATTTAATCTTGTAAATATTAGTTCCCAACAATATTATCAGAGTAGTCTCGAAAAGGACTACAAATTTTACTTCAAACAGAGGTCCCAGTATCTATCTGAATGATTTAACCCAATCAAATTTATATGTAAATTTAAAGGTTCGGGCCCGCTTTTATTAAAGAAAGGTCCAACATTTTGCATCAGCTTGTCTGTACTTTACGACTGGTAATCTTGGACTGAATTATCTCCGATAGAAATTGAAACAGCCGCCCAAAGTGTTAATGCTTGAAGGAAAACAGCTTTCTCAATTGAATTAACAACTTTTAACTCGTTTACGCTTACATAAATCGACAAAGCGTTTGTTTTTTTTTTTTTTTAATTCTTTGGATGTTGTAGAGGTCGGGGAGGCAAAATCGAGATCTTACAGTTAGTGTACGGAGTTTTCTCTTAAATTGCAGAAATCGCTCCTTGACGATCATCAACACGGTCAACAGCTATCAAGTTTGGGGTTTTGTATAAGCTCAAAAAAAGAAGATGGCATTAACTTTGTCTATTGTCTACATAATCAAATTTAAAAACGTGAGGAATAATATTATGTAGTTTGTTGTTGAGTCAAGACCTTTAACTAAAGAAGAAATACCCAATAGGAAAAATGGTTACATACCTACATGCCCAATTAAAATGGAATTAAAAGGAAAAAGCTCCTGAAAGTATATTTAGAACATAATAAAATTATTATAATTAATCAGTTGAGTATCGATCAATAAAACGTCTATCCGAAAGGGAAGCGTTCAAAGTCACGTCACAGTTTTAAGTGCTTGTCAAAACTTTGCCCAACTTACCGTCTTAACGTAAGTATTTAACAATCATTGCTTTAACCGCTTCGACTTGACAAAATTTTGATTGTTAGACAAACTTCATAACACGAACATCGGATGCATGTATTATATCTTGAGATATACTAACACATTACATGTCTGTGCGTTATGGGTAAAGTTTAAGTGATTACATTGATTTTGTACATCCATCGTGAATATTCAAATTAAATAAAGTTATTGTGCGAAAGTGGGAAGCAACATTCGCAGAGAGTATTGCTTTGAAGTGTATAACCGGATTTAGTTGTTTTGTGTGAGTGAATATAATCTTATACCTCTCCGGCGACTTATGTAAGATATAAAATTATTTTCACTCACACATTTATATAAGTAACATTACAATGTTTTCATACATATTTATGTAGATTGTCCTCCCCTAACCCAATTACGAAGAATTTTGATTTTGTTAACAAAAAAAAATATCATTAAATCATTAAAAAGTTCTGGTTAAATATTTGTTCGTTTCAATAGTCGTAAGTTACAGGAGCGTTTTACTCTGAATGACTTCATAACATCCAAAATTATTTTCATTAACACAGCCTCTATCATTACCTAAGTATAAAACGTTATATGTAAAAGCAAGTTGTTAGCTTATTTATAACTGCTCTATATTTATAGATACCTCATAAATTTTCTTTAACATTATATTTTCCTTTACGAGTTCATCTTTGGTTAAGCCTTTCAAAAAGAATATTTAGTTATTTAAAGAAAGAACCTTCTGCATTTGGGAGTTTCAAAGCAAAAGTTAAGCCTTTTGAAAGGCTACTCTATTCATTAAAAGGTTTAACCTGTTGAAAGGGTTTTATTAACTTAATTTCTACATACTTTGCTTACCTGTCGTTATACATATTATGTGCATGTGCTATTCTATAATATATATATATTGTCTACCTTTATTATAAGAAAAGATAGCTAAGTAGTTTCTTACTTTTTTGAATCTTAGATGGATTAATGTTATCGCAAATCATAACACTATGAATAGTAGGCATTTAATAAAATCTTTGGCTGTATTCCTCCACGAAAATTTAAATGCATCAAAAGGCGTCGTCTTTATTGGAATTTTATAGAGGGAAAGTCAAATGAAGGAAGGACAATGAGAGGACGAGTGCGGATCTATATTACTGAATTAAAAAAAATTGTAATCGATTTAATGACAGCCTTATTTGTTCCAAAAGACAAGAGGACGCACGGCTACAAAAAATTGTCGAAACGAAACAAGGCTTCGATGATAGAGCTACGCAACAGTTTTCGCTGTTGCAGGATATGGCAGGTCCGTCCTGGTTAGCACCACGGCCTCACAGAAGACTGGCGTGAAATGCAAGTGTTTATACTTCTGCGTTTCATCTGTTAAGTGAATTAGCCGGGGTCCATTTTATTAAAAGGTAAAAACGCATCTGCAACCATACGGGTGTTGCAAATGCCCATGGGCGGCGGTTATCACTTAACATCAGGTGAATCGCCAAATAGATTGGCACCTTCTTACTTCTTATTTTTTTATAAAATGCCTTTAGCAATGCAAGGGTGAGTTTTAAGTAGTGGAAACAATAAAACAATAGATATTGAGTATGTGAGAATTGAAAAATGATTTGATTTTCATTAAAAATAACAAACAATTTTTAAAGCCTTGAAAGCCACGCCATATCTGTAGGATTTATGCCAATTTCAATCATAAAGCGCCGATAACGTTTATTTGCAGGATTCTGAATTCCTTGAAATTCAGCAGTGCGATTTCGAAATCGCACACATGGAATATTCTCATCGTAATAGTATCAGTCCTTAGCAAATTTGAACTAACTTATTAATTTGAATTATTTATATGTATGTGTCCGATTTATTAACAGTGTAATGTCAGTTATCCCAGTACACGACGCTCAGCCGTATATACAGCGTGTCGTTACCATCGCGACAATAAATGAAGACACGTCTATCGCTACTTGCCAATAATCATAAAAAAATATTAACGTTAAACAAAATCCATAATTTAAAAAAATATTTTTCAAACAAACTAATTAAGTAAAAAAGAAACAAAATTTGTAACATCCTATACAACGCGCGCAGAGCGTCGTATTACAAGCCTCTCCTTCTAACAGTATGTTTTGTCTCTTTTAAATTCATTCAACCCATTCATATGCTTTGTGACCTAAACCTTACAAACGAAAACGTACTTTTATAAGTAAGGGTGTTCTAAAATTCTTTGTTTTGGAAAATTTAATAACTCTGTAAATATTGATGTTTAAAGAATTTAAATGTTTAATACAACTTTAAAAAGTTATCCCCTATATGTGTGTTCATTTATTGTCGCTATGGTAACGACACGCTGTATAAAATACAAACATCATCATTGTGAATAGGCACGGATATAGGGGTAGAATCATGAGGGCCATAATCGTATCCTAGAAGGGCAAAAATAATAGAATACATTTTTTTTAATTATAACTTTTGTTCCTCATTTAAATCCTACGCATTTATTTAACCATGATTTTTATATCATATAATAATATACATTTTATTTCTTATGTCTTAATTGCGTCTTCGACAAACTTGTGTTATAGGTACCACAAGACCTTACTTTTACGATTTATATATAAGTGTTTTTGGGTAAAGAAAATTTTTGAACAATTCCGGTGAATTAAAAAAAATGTAATAAAATTTTTTATAATTAAAAAAAATGTTTTTTGACTCGATAATAAATACGTAATACGTATATTACTT